AGTGTCCCCATGTCTCCCAGCCAGTGTCCTCAGTGTCCCTATGTCTCCAAGTGTCCCCAAATGTCTGTGTCCACATGTCTCCGAGTGTCCCCATGTCTATGTCCACAAGTGTCCCTAGTGTCTCAGTGTCCCCATGCCTCCAAGTCTCCCCTAGTCTCCCAGTGTCCCCTAGTCTCCCAGTGTCTGTGTTCCCATGTCTCTCAATGTCCCTAGTGTCTTAGTGTCCCCAAATGTTTCAGTGTCCCCATGTCTCTGTGTCCCTAGTGTCTTAGTGTCCCCATTTCTCCCAGTGTCCCCAAATGTCTGTGTCCCCATGTCTCCCAGTGTCCCCATGTCTGTATTCACAAGTGCCCCCATGTCTCCCAGTGTCCCCACATGTCTCAGTGCCCCCATGTCTCACTGTGTCCCCTAGAATCCTAGTGACATGGGGACACACTGAAGCATGGGGACACTGGGAGAAATGGGGACACTGAGAGACTGACCCTATTATGTAAAAAAACCATCTAGCCCCCCTGACCCTCTCTTTCCTCCCTAAAGTAAAATCTTACTTGTATTCAAGTCAGCAGATGCTGGCTCTGCCTCTGAACTGACATCATCAGAAGTGGTGGTCTGAGCAAATTACAATGCTTCCCCATAAGATTGGCTGAGACTAGGCAGATCAGGGGCAACTAGGCAGATCAGGGGCAGAGCCAGCACAGGTCAAACATAGCCCCTGCCAATCAGCATATCCTCATAAAGATAAATTGAATCAATGCATCTCTATGAGGAAAATTCAGTGTCTGCATGCAGAGGGTGGAGACACTGAGCGGCAGTGCTGCACACTAGGTAGTACTGCCCCAGGAAGCACCTCTAGCATCCGTCTAAGGAGTGGCTAGTGGAGTTATTTTCTCTGAAAAGACAGTGTATAATGCAAAAAGCCTGAACGGAATGATTCTACTTACCAGAACAAATACAATAAGCTGTAGTTGTTCTGGTGACTATAGTGTCCCTTTAAGTTTGGAAGCTTAAGAGGGATGTATGGCAACAAAACTGGTGTGGACTGGCTGACAATAAAATTAGTTTAGGTAATGCAGACTTTGGTTTCTCTAACACTGTGGCATGTCCCCTTTCTTCTACACTCACTACTTACAGCTTTACTCTGTCCTTCTGCTTACTAGTAAGACGATAAGGAGACAAGTGGACATGTGAGTGCTAGGGTATAGTCCTAAGAAAGCATGGAGTAGGCGCATCATTTGATGCATTTATGTCAAGCTCAGGGTGCTGCCTGCATAGCCCTTAGTTGGACAGCCTGCATGATTGGCAGGCAGCCTGACATGCCCCCTTTTTGGGCATGTTCACCCCTTTTGGCAGGTCTGGTCACATGATTCGTGTCAGTGTCCCATCCTTTTACCCTGTCCATTGACTTCCTGCTTCACTGGACACTGCTATTAGGGGGTATGGATTTACTTGAAAGATGAAAGCATACATTAGAGAGAGATTAACATAGAGTATGTATTTTCGTATAGCTGCATCCTTTCCCTCCAACACCATCTCCATCAGATACACGACGCTTGGGAGGTATGATTGTTTTAGTGTTTTTGGTCGATAAGATTCTGTAATTAGGCCCATCATAATTGTCAGCACCAGGTCCCCTCGGCTCTTAATCTGGCCCTGCCTCCATAGACACATCACACTTAGCTACCCCAATAAACATCCCACTTAGCCAGTTCCTGTAGAAAACGTACTTCTTATAATATATTTATTTCTCTTCTACTTGTTGGGTGGCTTGCCATGATGTTAATACACGTATATATTATAATTTTCTGTCTGTTAGTTACAAGCAGTAATAAGCATTAGACATACATGTTCGTTAGGTTTATTCTGCTTACAATTACTAATATGTAATAAAACAACAAAGGGTGTTACAGGATGGTGGGTATTAAACAGCAGATGGTAATTGCTGGACTCAGGAAGGGAAAGATATAGTCTTTTTCCTTAAAATCTGAGTTGTCAGACTACCCCCAACACTGGATTTGACGAAAACTTTCTTTGTGTAGTTACAGGAGTCAAACAAGAGCATTCATATGATTACTATTGGTTAAGAATCCCATTCCAGAAGAATTTTCAGACAAAGAAAGCCATGTGATGTATTGATACCATTCGCTACTTATTCTCTATCCAGACACCCATAATGAAATATGCAATAATCTACAGTTCCAAATATCACACTCAGCCAGCCATGCACACACATTACACTTTGCCAACCCACTCCCACTCCCACACAGTGTGCTTCATCAGATCTTGCACTGGAGCTCTGTAGCTCATCTACTATTTGAGGCTACCATCTTTTATTTTGGTGTTGGAATAATCTATGTTTTCATGTGCCCTCATTCCACAGTGTTTGTCATATTTGAAATTCCAATGTATCTAGAGCACTGCCATTTGTTTTAGTTACATGTTCATTCTTCATACTTCCTCGGAAGGTATAGTAGCCCGTATTATTTTAATGTTGTTCAAACTTTACATTTTTTTTGTCCCTGCAAACTGCTCAATTGACATGTAAGGTAGCTGTATGAGAAATGCTTAATAGATACATCATTACATTATATGATTATCAGAGCTGGATTAGCCATTGGACAAAGTATGCATCTCCCTACTGACCCATGTCGGCACCTTTTTGGCACATAATGCGTCTTTTTACAGCTTAAAGGAGAACTGTCACCTCAATACTATCTTTTAATATAATGATCCTTTCACCAAGTTTTGAAAGGAAATAGATTCTTTATTAAATTAAGTATATATATATAAAAAAAAGAGATAGAGAACTCATCCCAACCTTTAGTAAATGATAGGCTCCTTCAGCCATATACATACACTATGGGTCAGACATTGATTGAATATGACAGTATGTTAGTCTTATATAAGCTACTGCACTGTGCAAAGAGTGAAGCAGGGAAGACCATAGAGACTATATAAATGTTTTCAAACACTGTCTGCCCTGAGGTCCATACAAATGGCCAAAGGATCCTGTCATATACTAAAGATTGGGGAGATTTTTTCATTATTATTATTTTTATTTTTTTAACATATACTTCAATCTCTTTACTTTCCAAACATGATTAAAGGATCATTATATAAAGAAAAAAATAGTGTTAAAGGTGACAGATGTCCTATAAGTGGATTCTGGGGAAAGATAAGTACCAGGACCTTTGGCCACTGTGCTCTGTAGTCAAGTCAGGCTCCTATGCTTTATAGCAGAACTGCAGGGACAGTTTTAAAGTGCAGCTCCTTCGATGTCTGTGTGAGGCTGGGCAGGAAGTGGAAGGGATCACTTCCTGTCTGCACAATAACAGCCTCTCAAACAGGAAATGCCTTGCAAGAGGACCAGGGACAGCACTGAGTGATGCACACTGTATTCCATCTACTTCAACTTTACTATCAATCATATGACGGCAAGTACTTACTATTTAAAAAAAAAAATCACCTCCAAATGTCACGTCTGTACCCTAAACATAATTATCCCTTTTCCCCAACCCTGAATTTAACCAATACAAAAACCTATACCAACCCATTCTTTAGTCCCAAATTTAACACCCCCTTAACCTTTACTTTCATCCTAGGTTTAACACATTTTAAATACCAATACTCCATGTACAAAAATGCCATATTTAACTAAACAATAACATCAAAATGAAAATTCCTAAACACTCCCTGAACCCAAATACTAAATGCCCTTTGTAATTTAACGCTAATGTTAACCCCTCTTAAATCTTAGATGATTACTCACTGATAGTGATGTCCCGAACGGTTCGCCGAACGGTTCGCCGAACGGTTCGCCACGAACGGTTCGCCACGGACTCATCATTGAATAAACTTTGACCCTGTACCTCACAGTCAGCAGACACATTCCAGCCAATCAGCAGCAGACCCTCCCTCCCAGACCCTCCCACCTCCTGGACAGCTTCACAATGAATGTAAAATGTATGCTGTCCAGGAGGTGGGAGGGTCTGCTGCTGATTGGCTGGAATGTGTCTGCTGACTGTGAGGTACAGGGTCAAAGTTTACTCAATGATGAGTCCGTGGCGAACCGTTCGGCGAACCGTTCGGGACATCACTACTCACTGATTTATGAAGTGGTCATGGTGGTAGGAGTCTGCATGTGCAGTGTTTATTTACTTTTGTCATCACTGCGCAATGCATACTGTCAGCAGATGGTCTCTGATTAATTTTTCTCCCCCCTCCTTAACTGCACCCCCCATACCCTATGCTATTTTGCTTTTTTCTGCCCTCACTCCCTTCTACTCTGCCACGCGCGTTGAGCCGGTCAAAAAAAAGTCTGGTTAAATATGAGAAGCCTGTGATTGGATCTCTGCACTGCTCCCGTGACGTAACAAGAGGGCATGCTGAGCAGCACATGGAGTTTTGCCAGGCGCTGGATTCAAAGTAAGTAAAATCTTATTTTACTTACTTTTGTTTAGTGTCTTTTGACTATACTCACAGATTCAAACACACTTCTAGTAATTTTTATGCCTGCAATGTCTAGTTAATAAATGTATTAAACTCACTTCATCTGATATTGTTTGGAGGGGAGGCACTCGGCATGTGAGTCTGTCCATGAGGAGGATTATTATATAAGAAAACAACATCCCAAAGTGTATTATCATAGTCACTAGTACTAGTAGGAAATCAGACAGTCTACTGCTCGTAACCCTGCCAAGTGAAATTTAAATGCCCTTGGCAGCATGTTATTCTCATCATTCTCTATTCTGTTTCTGTGTCAAGGTTCAGGAACAGCGCAATGTGGTTTCTGATGTAAATAAGGCACTGTCAGGGCAAGTTCAACATAAACACGGACTGAAGTTAAAGGAACACTACCATATTTTTTTTTACTATATCAATATAACATATATGCTATAAAAATTTTATATATAATGTATATTGAAATTTTTGAAGGGTTCGCCACGGTTCGCCACGAGCTGTTCGCGGCGAACTCCGGTCAGCTGACACATCCCGGCCAATCTCCAGCAGACTCTCCCTCCCAGACCCTCCTACTTCCTGGACAGCATCCATGTTGAAACAGGAAGTAGGAGGGTCTGGGAGGGAGGGTCTGCTGAAGATTGGCCGGGATGTGTCAGCTGACCGGAGTTCGCCACGAACAGCTCGCTGCGAACCGTGGCGAACCGTTCGCGAGAAGTTCGCGGACGGTTCGTGACATCTCTAGTCACAAGCAGGGAGGTGTGACTAGGGTTCATAAACAAAGTGATTTCACTCCTGAATGGCAGAGAATTGAGCAGTGAGACTGTAGTGTCCCTTTAAGGAACCCATTAAGCATTACTATGACCAACACTAAAACATCTGAACTTAAATATATATTACAATCTCTATAAAGTTACATAAATAGGATGTAAAGCACAATGCCAGACAGTGAAAAACAGAGCAATATACCGCTACACTCACATGGTGTAAATTTACATAAAATGATAGTCTGTGCATGCTTGCCAAAAGCAGCACAGTCTTGATTTCAGGGTCCTCCTGTCCTGCCATCCCAATTAAGTTTCCTGGTGTCTCGTCTCTGAGGATAACAAGGAACAATGCTGGTATAGAGAGCTTTAGCAGCAATCTCTCTCCATGGCCCTCAATGTAGGGGGTTAGCCACTTGGCTCTCATGTTTGACGCCAGGGCTCCTACAGTTGGCAGATCCATCTACTTTCTGTGTGGGCCCCCGGCCTGCCAATCATGGAGCCATCACCAGTGACGACTAGGAAGACCTGCCCCCTTCACAAAGTAATATGGAGTGTCTGTGTCTACAATGTATTACATTGACACACACGGAGCACTATCCATGGCAGTGATGTATACGGGTGAGATATGACATAGAGCTACACCGTTTATCTATAATATATTACGTTGACTCACATTGGATGATATATGTGGCTTGTTCCACTAAAGGCATCTCTCACTGTTTCACAGAGTCTCTTTAAGACCAATCTAACAGAAAACTCTTCCCATATGATGTGATATGGAGTTACACTGTGTATCTATAATGTACAGATGATACTCGAAAAATTAGGATATCGTGCAAAAGTTCATTTATTTCAGTAATGCAACGTAAAAGGGGAAACTAATATATGAGATAGACGGATTACATGCAAAGCAAGATAGTTCAAGCCGTGATTTGTCATAAGTGCGATGATTATGGCTCACAGCTCATGAAAATCCCAAATCCACAATCTCAGTAAATTAGAATGTTACATGCAATCAATAAAACAAGGAGTGTTCATAGAACAATATCGGAGCTCTGAAAAGTATAAGCATGCATATGGACTCAGTACTTGGTTTACGTTGCATTACTGAAATAAATGAACTTTTGCACGATATTCTAATTTTTCAAGTATCACCTGTAGTACATTGATTCACTTTGGATGCTATATGTGTCTATTACACAATTTCTTTATCAGAGTCTCGTCAATCTTTTTTTTTTTTTTACTGGAAAGCTCTTCCCATTTTTACTCCAGCAATGCCACTTTGTTTTCTGTTGCCAGGATTGCTTCTATACAAATAGAATAGAAATGAGGAAAATACTCGTAGATGTTAAGAAATCTAAAGGAATCAGATCAGCAATCTCTATTGCGTGGGTTTGGAATGTTCTGTCTTCTTATAAAAACATGCACATACATTAAACGTATACGTATACTAACAGCAGCGCTCACTAGCTTTATCTGAGTCTTCGATCTCATTGCTTTCACAGCTCTGTCACTTCAGCCACTATTATATCTAGTGTTTCCTTATCGAGGTTATTCTGGGATAAAGTGAAAATAGGGAAAATAGTGAGAACTGCCTTTAGTGGAACTAGACACATATAGTGAGTACTGCCTTTAGTGGAACTAAAAACATATAGTGAGTACTGCCTTTAGTGGAACGAGACACAAATAAATAGTGAGTACTACCTTTAGTGGAACGAGACACATATAGTGAGTACTTCCTTTAGTGGAATGAGATACAAATAAATGGTGAGTACTGCCTTTAGTGGAACGAGACACAAATAAATGGTGAGTACTGCCTTTAGTGGAACTAGACACATATAAATAGTGAGTACTTCCTTTAGTGGAACTAGACACATATAGTGAGAACTGCCTTTAGTGGAACTAAAAACATATAGTGAGTACTGCCTTTAGTGGAACTAAAAACATATAGTGAGAACTGCCTTTAGTGGAACTAAAAACATATAGTGAGTACTGTCTTTAGTGGAACTAAAAACATATAGTGAGAACTGCCTTTAGTGGAACTAAAAACATATAGTGAGTACTGTCTTTAGTGGAACTAAAAACATATAGTGAGTACTGTCTTTAGTGGAACTAAAAACATATAGTGAGTACTGCCTTTAGTGGAATGAGACACAAATAAATGGTGAGTACTGCCTTTAGTGGAACTAGACACATATAGTGAGTACTGCCTTTAGTGGAACTAGACACATATAGTGAGTACTGCCTTTAGTGGAACTAAAAACATATAGTGAGAACTGCCTTTAGTGGAACTAGACACATATAGTGAGTACTGCCTTTAGTGGAACTAGACACATATAGTGAGTACTGCCTTTAGTGGAACTAAAAACATATAGTGAGAACTGCCTTTAGTGGAACTAGACACATATAGTGAGTACTGCCTTTAGTGGAACTAAAAACATATAGTGAGAACTGCCTTTAGTGGAACTAGACACATATAGTGAGTACTGCCTTTAGTGGAACTAAAAACATATAGTGAGAACTGCCTTTAGTGGAACTAAAAACATATAGTGAGTACTGCCTTTAGTGGAACGAGACACAAATAAATAGTGAGTACTACCTTTAGTGGAACGAGACACATATAAATAGTGAGTACTTCCTTTAGTGGAACTAGACACATATAGTGAGTACTTCCTTTAGTGGAATGAGATACAAATAAATGGTGAGTACTGCCTTTAGTGGAACGAGACACAAATAAATGGTGAGTACTGCCTTTAGTGGAACTAGACACATATAAATAGTGAGTACTTCCTTTAGTGGAACTAGACACATATAGTGAGTACTGCCTTTAGTGGAACTAAAAACATATAGTGAGAACTGCCTTTAGTGGAACTAAAAACATATAGTGAGTACTGTCTTTAGTGGAACTAAAAACATATAGTGAGTACTGTCTTTAGTGGAACTAAAAACATATAGTGAGTACTGCCTTTAGTGGAATGAGACACAAATAAATGGTGAGTACTGCCTTTAGTGGAACTAGACACATATAGTGAGTACTGCCTTTAGTGGAACTAAAAACATATAGTGAGAACTGCCTTTAGTGGAACTAAAAACATATAGTGAGTACTGTCTTTAGTGGAACTAAAAACATATAGTGAGTACTGCCTTTAGTGGAACGAGACACAAATAAATGGTGAGTACTGCCTTTAGTGGAACTAGACACATATAGTGAGTACTTCCTTTAGTGGAACGAGACACAAATAAATAGTGAGTACTACCTTTAGTGGAACGAGACACATATAAATAGTGAGTACTTCCTTTAGTGGAACTAGACACATATAGTGAGTACTGCCTTTAGTGGAACGAGACACATATAGTGAGTACTTCCTTTAGTGGAATGAGATACAAATAAATGGTGAGTACTGCCTTTAGTGGAACTAGACACATATAGTGAGTACTTCCTTTAGTGGAACGAGACACAAATAAATAGTGAGTACTACCTTTAGTGGAACGAGACACATATAAATAGTGAGTACTTCCTTTAGTGGAACTAGACACATATAGTGAGTACTGCCTTTAGTGGAACGAGACACATATAGTGAGTACTTCCTTTAGTGGAATGAGATACAAATAAATGGTGAGTACTGCCTTTAGTGGAACGAGACACAAATAAATGGTGAGTACTGCCTTTAGTGGAACTAGACACATATAAATAGTGAGTACTTCCTTTAGTGGAACTAGACACATATAGTGAGTACTGCCTTTAGTGGAACTAAAAACATATAGTGAGAACTGCCTTTAGTGGAACAAATAAATAGTGAGTACTGCCTTTAGTGGAACGAGACACATATAAATAGTGAGTACTTCCTTTAGTGGAACTAGACACATATAGTGAGTACTGCCTTTAGTGGAACGAGACACATATAGTGAGTACTTCCTTTAGTGGAACGAGATACAAATAAATGGTGAGTACTGCCTTTAGTGGAACTAGACACATATAAATAGTGAGTACATCCTTTAGTGGAACTAGACACATATAGTGAGTACTGCCTTTAGTGGAACGAGACACAAATAAATGGTGAGTACTGCCTTTAGTGGAACTAGACACATATAAGTAGTGAGTACTGCCTTTAGTGGAACTAGACACATATAGTGAGTACTGCCTTTAGTGGAACGAGACACAAATAAATAGTGAGTACTGCCTTTAGTGGAACTAGACACATATAGTGAGTACTTCCTTTAGTGGAACGAGACACATATAAATGGTGAGTACTGCCTTTAGTGGAACGAGACACAAATAAATAGTGAGTACTGCCTTTAGTGGAACGAGACACAAATAAATAGTGAGTACTGCCTTTAGTGGAACTAGACACATATAGTGAGTACTGCCTTTAGTGGAATGAGACACAAATAAATGGTGAGTACTGCCTTTAGTGGAACTAGACACATATAGTGAGTACTGCCTTTAGTGGAACTAGACACATATAGTGAGTACTGCCTTTAGTGGAACGAGACACAAATAAATAGTGAGTACTGCCTTTAGTGGAACTAGACAAATAGAGTAAGTACTGCCTTTAGTGGAACGAGACACAAATAAATAGTGATTACTGCCTTTACTGTGTTGATTCCCTTTATGTATTTAAATGTTTCTATCATATCCCCCCCCTAAAAAAAACTTACACATCAATTAAACTTACGTGTGTCTCTTTCCTGGATAAGCAGTGCTCACTATTTAATGTGTCTAGTTCCACTAAAGGCAGTACTTACTCTATTTGTCTAGTTCCACTAAAGGCAGTACTTACTATTTATATGTGTCTCGTTCCACTAAAGGACGAGACCATATTTAATAGAAGAAAAACTACCACAAGAGGACATAGTCTGAAATTCGGGGAGCAAAGG